GTTTTTGTATTATTTCCATATCTCTATAGCAGAAAGTATAGTATATGCAAAAATAGAAAACAGAAATAAAAGCAAAATCAGGAAATCATTGAAATGCTTTCACTCATTGATAGATACATTGATGATAGGTAGGTATGTAGGTAGATAGATAGATTATCCCTAACAACCGGGGAACAATGGAACCTACATTGGATAAAACAACAGCAACAAAGGCTTCTACACAGTAGACACTAAAGCATGTTTCCTTTTGGTACCCATCACATTCTGTGCAACACCAACTTTTCTGCCATGTAATCCTTCTCTTCATTCATATTTAAGTAACTGAATGTACATATTATTTTGCACACTCTAGTTAATATTTTGGATAACTTTAGCATTTTAGGAATAATAAAAAATAATTGAGACTAACATAATTGGCTATCCCTATTACATGAAGAAAACACTGAATTGTAACAATATTCTTTATATCAGAATATGGATATATTATTAAACATATTTTGCCTTCAATCCCTCATAAGTATATCAGCACTGTCATTTCTTTTATAAATCATCTTAACATAAAAATCATTTTTTTTTCTGTGAAAAGGATAACAAATTCTTTATAGAATTGATGTATTTTCACTTAAAAAAATCTGGTGGATGAAATAATGTCATTTTTTAAAACCACAAAATTTCATAGGGCTGCAGAAAATGGCAATTTAATTCAAGAGTAAATCTATAAGTTTTAGAAAAATATGTTTCCTTTGTGAATATCTATGAAATACAAATCGATAGGTATGGACAAATCTCTTTGCTTGATTGTTGAAAAGCAGCATCACAAGCCTTAACTAGAGAGAGTTAAGATGAGAGGTAACACTTTTTAATGGAAAGTAAATGTAATTTAAAATTGTGTCTTTTTTTTACCATCTTGAAGATACTAACGAAGCATGAGCAAGATTTCAAAGAATATTTTTGACCCTCCCAATTTTATTTAATTGTGTAATTTGTGAAATATTCTTTAAAATAGAGTTTTTATGTATTGTATAGTATTCTATTAACAATGTCTATAATATCTTCAGTTGTTAAAGAGATTATGTTTAAAAGTATCACATTCTTTGAGAAATGTATATTCTGTGTCAGTAAATTAGTACTAACAATATAATGCAAATAGTAATTTTTGTTTTATATCCTAGTCTCAGGGTGCCTATTACATCAATATTTTGCAATATCTACATATAAATTTCTACTTGAAATTAAATTTTATTTTACAGTTTGAAACATTTATAATTTCATACTTGTTTTATACAATGGCCTTTGAGAACTGATAAAGCAGGTATAGTCATTCCTCTTTTAAAGACAGGAGTTGTTTACCTAGTATACATGCAACACATTGTAATATAAAAGTTAAAAAGCCAACTAGTGAATATGCATGCAACCTAAAGGAACAGACCAAAGGAAAATTTAAATGCTCAGAAAATTACAGAGCAAATACTTCCAACAAAACCTTGACTAATATGAAATGTAGGATTATGTGTGAATATGTGTTGTTTATGTGAGTGTGTATAAGTTGTATGTATGTATGTATACATGTGTGTGTGTTTGTGTGTGTGTGACTTTACAATTTGCAGAAAATCTGCTGTAACTATATTTGAAAATATGCTTCATACCTAGTGCAACAAATGACACATATAAAATTGAACAATTTAGCTGGACATTATGGTGCATGCCTATAATCCCTGTGACTCAGAAGGTTGAAAGAGAAGTATTGAAAACTAGCACCAAGTTTTGAGATCAACCTCAGCACCAAGAGAGGCTCTAAGAAATATAGTGAGACTCTGACTCAAATTTTTTTTTTTTTAATTTTTTTTTATTGGTTGTTCAAAACATTATAAAGCTCTTCACATATCATATTTCATACATTAGATTCAAGTTGGTTATGAACTCCCAATTTTACCCCAAATACAGATTGCAGAATCACATCGGTTACACATCCACATTTTTACATAATGCCCTATTAGTAACTGTTGTATTCTGCTACCTTTCCTATCCTCTACCATCCCCCCTCCCTCCCCTCCCATCTTCTCTCTCTACCCCATCCACTGTAATTCATATCTCTCCTTGTTTATTTTCCCATTCCCCTCACAACCTCTTATATGTAATTTTGTATAACAATGAGGGTCTCCCTCCATTACCATGCAATTTCCCTTTTCTCTCCCTTTCCATCCCACCTCATGTATCTGTTTAATGTTAATCTTTTCTTCCTGCTCTTCCTCCCTGCTCTGTTCTTAGTTGCTCTCATTATATCAAAGAAGACATTTGGTATTTGTTTTTTAGGGATTGGCTAGCTTCACTAAGCATAATCTGCTCTAGTGCCATCCATTTCCCTGCAAATTCTATGATTTTGTCATTTTTTAGTGCTGCGTAATACTCCATGGTGTATAAATGCCACATTTTTTTTATCCATTCATCTATTGAAGGGCATCTGGGTTGGTTCCACAGTCTAGCAATTGTGAATTGTGCTGCTATGAACATCGATGTAGCAGTATCCCTGTAGTACGCTCTTTTAAGGTCTTCAGGGAAAAGTCCAAGAAGGGCAATAGCTGGGTCAAATGGTGGTTCCATTCCCAGCTTTCCCAGGACTGACTCAAATTTTTGAAAAATAAATAAATACAAATGGGGAAGTAAAATTTAATGAATTTGGCCATATGTATAAATATGAATCCAAAACTACTATCAAGATAATTAAAAATTCCATTACCCTAATAGTATCATTGAGCTTAAGGAAGCTGCTCCAAGATTTTTCAAACTAGGTTAACAATTGCATTGCACTCTGCTTGACAGAAATATCTGAAATTACTATGGAATACCTTTAGTAGCATGAAAATAATTTGCCTAATATTCATCAACCACAAAGTAAAAACAACAACAACAACAAAAAAAAAACAAGCAGGATTCAAAAAATAGTTAGCTTCCAATTACAATATATATGAGACTCTGAAGATGTTTTGAACGAGAAATAATAATTAATAATAACAATAATAATGTTAGAAGATCCAGCAAGATTCTAGAATAATAAATTTAAAAATAACAATTAGTAGTAGAATATAAATTGAAAAAGAACATGGTCAGTGTGGAGGATTACTTGTGGCTATGGAAGTCAAAAAGGAATTATATATTGAAGCACAAAAAAAATAGGTGAATCAGTGATCATGATAGATTCATAAGACAATTCACAGATATATACCATAGACTTATATTTTGAGTAACAATTATTCCCAAAGTGGGGGGGAAGAATACATGAAGAAGAAGCAAATATTCAATAAGTGCAGAAAATAATTTCTCATTATGAAAACACATTCTACATTATAAGATCTTATCTAAATTCATGAAAGACTGATCAAAGAAGACATATGCTGATAAAATTCTTTATTCCGGGGTTAAAGACAAAAATCTTACAAACTATAGCGAAGAAAACAGTATCTTCAAAGGCAAAAGAAATTCAGACCAGCATTGGACATATTGGCCAGAAAACAGGGCAAGAACATCTGCAGAAAAAAAGAATAGTGAGGCACATGGTGCCCACCTGTAATTCCAGCAGCTTGAAAGGTTGCAGCAGGAGGATTATAAGTTCAAAGCCAACCTCAGCAATTTAATAAGGCTCTAAGCAACTGTTTCAAAATATAAATAAATAAATAAATAAATAAATAAGGGCTTGGGATGTCATTCAGTGGTGAAGCACTCAATGTGTTCAACACTGGTACCAAAAAAAAAAAAAAAGAAGAAGAAGAAGAAGAAGAAAGAAAAAAATAACAAATCAATTATTCTACACAACACCATTATTTAATTGGAAAATAGGAAAAATAGATATATTTTATACTTCAAAAAATTAAATTATAATTTATATCTCTTCCTTTCTTGAAGACAATATTTAAATATTTCCTCTGATATTTTCTTAGATTCTGTTGAAATGGAATGACAACTGTGGAACTGAAACTTCAAGTGATACAGAAACCGTGACTTGTGAAAGAATTGTTTCAAAAATCTGAGTGAAATATGATAGACTGGGAAAGTATGATTGAAATTTGAAATAATCCTTAAAGTAAAAAGATATAGGGAAAATCCCATTACTATTTTGGATCAGTAGTCAAAAAACTGATTCTGCCTTCTGATTCCTTTTGTAAATACCATTCTTTTTAGGCGGGGAAAATAGCCCTGTCCAATAGTTTGCGTATTATCTACTTTCACTGTAGAATACAGAGTTGAGTAGTTATGACCGAGATTTCAAAAAATTCCCCAATTGAAGCTTTTCTTTCTTTTTTTTTTTAAAGATACTTCCATTCATCCTCTAGAGCTAAAAATATTACATCTTGGCAAACCCTAAGACTTTGAGGCAAAGTAATTTCAATACCTTGTTGATGAGAAAAGAAAGGTGATAGAGTAGAGAAGATAATGGGCATACTTTAAATAACCCTTTTCCAAAATGGATAAAATTAAGTGAAGTGAATATTCATGTCAATATAAGAATATTCAATTTGCAAACAATAGTAGAAAACTATGTATCATATCTAGAAAGGTAAGCATGAGTGCAGAGGAAAAATAGGTAGATAATACACAAAAACAACCTCATGGATAGTATATTGAAGACACCAAATATAAATGAACAGACAAATAAGGGGATGTATACAGAGGAGGACCAGTGTACATCAAATGATAAAAAGTGTAAATGATCAACAATTCTCGTGAAAAGTAGAAATAAGATCTGTCTGTAAAAAAGACCCTCTGAATAGATTTCAAAAAGATAATCTAGCAATAATTATGCTGTTAATGACTAAGCTTAACCAAATTAATCAATTGAGGCTGAAAATACTGGAACAGTTAAAAAAAGGAAAATAAATAAAGGAATAAGCAAGGTTTTTACAACAAGTTGATCCCCACATTTCTGTGGTTTAGAACAACATAAGGTCATTTCAGAGTTACATAGTATTGTTTAATGTTTGATCAATCGCTTTTTTTGGTTCCAGCCAAGAAGGGGAAAGACTTTGGAGGATACACTCATGAGAGGCTTTTACAGACTCTGGAAGGAGGCAGCAGTCATCTTCCTGGAGACTTGAGGCCTGTGGTCAGCAGCCAACTGCTCAGAAGAAGGTAACACAATGAAAAAGATTCTGTAATCCAGCATCACCTCTCCCACTTTATGAAGAGGCTGATATTTTTGTTTCATTGTAAAGATCCCATTGGACTTGGCATTTGGGAAACCAGAGGCTGGTTCTTCTGATAGGAGAGAACAGACTGGTCCTGATAACTCTGAGCTTGGTGAGAAGGATCCAAGAAACAGTGAAGTAACATCATGTGATACCTTTGTGGTAGCCATAAGTTGTTATGGTTCCACTTTAAGTGAGGTGACCATCCAAGGTTATTGGATGTTTCTGGCAAGTAGATACTACAGTGATATTTTTAAACAATTAAACTGGCTGCTTTGAAGAGACCATAGCAATAAGTATAAAGGAGGGAAAGCTTTTGGTGGTAGTATACATGAGAGATGATGGTGACTTGGACCATTACACTAGCAGTGAAAGTGATGAGATTTGTTGGTATTTAAAGAAAAAGGTAATCTATCATATCAATTATAAAGCATCAATAATTGGATTTAATGTTAATTACATTTGTCACTTAGTCTTTATCTCCATTGATTTACAGATCAATAAAAATGTATTTGCTTCTTAGGTGATATTCATAAAGAATAAAAATCCTGATATAAAACTATAGTCTTTGGGTTTATAGGAGATATGGAAATAAATGTCTTTCTTCATGTGACTCTATATTGGGAATGACAATGTGATGGCAGATTTATTTGAGGATTTTATATGTAAATTTTTAAAATGCCTTATCAAATGTGGATTTGAATCTCAACATCTAAGCAGATTATGTTTCTCACACTTTTCTAAGAAAGCATTTAGATTTAATTCATTTTGTTGGATCTGTGGGTCTAAATCAGAAGCCCTGGCTTACATTACTGTTCCAAAGACAATATAACCTAAAGTTTTCTTATGCAGAATAATTCTAGGTAAATAACATTCATTTGTTTATTATGCATAAAATCTCTCAGAGTTAAGTATTGTGTGTTTTCTTTCTTTCTTTCTTTTCTTTTTTTCTTTTTTACTGAATCTCAAAATCCTAAAGCAAGGTTCAGAACTATAGGATGTTGAGTCTACCTACCAGAGACATGAATAGTTGTGTTTCAATGAAAAACTGCTTATTGTGATATTTTATTAGGATTTTTAAAAACTCAGCTTAGGAATAGTCAAAATATTTTCAAAAAATTCTTGTAATGGATGCAAATTTTTGTTGTGATTTTAAATTACCATTAAAAGTATTACATTCTATGTGTAGTATGTTAACATTTTATTATGCTCTTATTCAAGATATGCAGAATTGGAGAAGAGAATAAATGTTGAATTTGGAGGGGTTCCAATAATTAACATCTATTTTTTTCCTGTGTGTTAAATTGGTAAAAGTATGTGTCCTTAAGGTAAGCTATCTGTACTCTGTTCAAACAAAGAAATTTTCTATATCCTGTAAAAAATTGGCAAAGTCAGAATGACCTCTGTGGGAGGTATTAGTTACAACTTGGAGGGATCCCCAGTTAGCCTCAAGGTCTCAAAATACTCTAAAGGGCAGCTCAGTCTTACAATCCTCAGCCTCTAATTCTTGCACATCTGGTGACATATTCTGCAAGATTTCTGTAAATCACGCTTTGGAAAGCAGTTAAAGAAATGTGAACTCAACCACTTTTAAATTGAGTAAAAGTAAGAGATAATGATGTTGCTTAATTTAATAAGAATGTTTGGCACAGAAAATGTCTGTAGGATGACTAGTTTAAAATGCTAGTGATATGAACAGGTAGAAAATATTAGTTTTAGGCATCTTTATGTCACTGTGACCAAGAACAATTTAGAGGAGGAAAATTTTATTTTGGGCTCAAGGTTTCAGAGATTCAGGCAATAGATGACCAAATCTATATCTCTGTGCTCCAGGCAGGTTAGAACATCATGACTGAAGGGTGTGGCCCAGAAAACTACTCAGTTAATCACAGCCAGAAAGCAGAGAGATAGCTTCACTCACCTGGGTCAAATATAAAACCCAAAGGCTGGCCCCCAGTGACCCCCTTCTTTCAAAAGCATCCTACCTTACTATAGATACCACCCCGTTAATCCACATCAGTGGATTAACCCACTGATTATGTTATAGTTCTCATAGTCTGATCATTTTACCTCTGAACATTTTCACATTGTCTCACACATGAGTTTTTGTGGGCCATCTCATAAGGAAACTCTAATAGTATTTAAAACGTAGTGTTTCTCATATTTGAATCCAAGAGGAAATATAATGTCCTGCTCTTCACAGATACATGATATTAGGAGGATGTGATTTATGGATTTTGTTGTTTATTCTGAAGATCAAAAATTTTGCTATAGGACTTCAATTAACAAAATAGTTTACTAACAGGAGCAATCCAGGGAACAGGGAAGAGGCCAATTACATGAAAACTAAACTGAGAATTTAGGGGAAAACAAATATATATACAAAGGTTGAAAGGAGAATTATATCCAAGTTATTGAGGAATGATCTAACAGTGACCCTGGTGAACACAGTACAGAAAGGGTTAATTCAATGATAAATGTAAAAGATGAGTCTGAAAGCAGATCATGAGAGAGATGGTGATGTGCCTGAGTATGGGCAGAATGGTCACCTGAAGATGTGCACATTGAAATCCCCAGAACCTGTGAATAAGTCACATGGAAAGGTACCTTGAAGATGTAATTAAAGCTGTGAATCTTAGGATATGTATTACCCAGGTAGTCCCAGTTTAATCATGAGAACTTACCAGCTGGAGACAGAAGAGAGATTGGAAGTCAGAGATCTTCTAAATGTAAATATAAGAAAGATGGGGCTGGGCAGGCCCTTCCACTCCCAGCCAGAAAGGAAATTGGGACTACTACTCCTCCCTCTTGGAAATGGATTTTACCAAAAACCTAAGTAAGTCTAGAATCAGATTCTTTCAAGAATCTCCTGATGAGAACTTGCCTCTGCCCTCACCCACTGCTGCCTCCAGATGAGGACACTGACACTATTTTTTTCTTCAAGTGTTTAAACAGAGAAACCAGCTAAGCCAACACAGATTTTTGATGATCATACTTGTGAAATCATAAATATTGTTGTTTTAAAACCCCAAAGTAGCCAGGTACAGTGATGCACACCTGTAATCCCAGTAACTTCGGAGGCTGAGCAGGGAGATGTCAAGTTAAAAGGCAACCTCAGCAATTTAGTGAAACTCTAGATAACTTAGTGAGACCCTATATCTCTAAATAAAATATAAAACAGACTGAGAATGGAGCTCAGTGGTTAAGCACTCTTAAGTTCAAGAAGGGTGGTTTCACTAGTAAAATTTGTGTGTGTGTGTGTGTGTGTGTGTGTGTGTGTATGCGCACATGCAAGCTCACACACTTGTATAATGCAAATAAATTGTCACTGCAAGGGACTTTAATCAGAATATTTCAACAAAAATAATGAAAGGAGTAAAATCATTAGTGTCAAAAATTTGGGGTAATGACCACTTATGGCAATTACTAAATTGTAGTGATCCTGAAAGACAGGGTAATATGTTATTATATTTATATGAGCAAAAAGAGAAGTCTTTTTTGTGGAACAATTTCTTCCATCACTCTTTTATCTCAGGTATCAAAGACCATGGGGAATTATATAAGTAAATAAGAGCCACTATTTGTCATATGATAATGACAAGTATGTGCTTGTATAGTGCCAAGATATGAAAATGGAATTGGAAAGTAGAAAAACATAAAAATAAGGAAGCTGTGATGGTTTGATAATGAGGTATCCCCCAAAAGCTCATGTGAAAGACAACACAGGAAAATTCAGAAGTGAAATGATTGGGTTATGAGAGTCTTAACCTACCAGTGCATTAATCCAGTTGAGTGGATAAACTAGGTGGTGACTGTAGTCAGGTAGAGTTTGAAAGGAGGAGGTGGGTCACAGTGGGTGCACCCTCATGGTAGATATTTTATCCCTAATAACTGAGAAGCCTCTCTCTGCTTCCTGATTGCCATGTGCTGAGCTGTTTTCCTCCTCCACAACCTTTCACCTTGACATCCTGCCTCATCTTGGGCCCAGAGCAATGGAACCAACCATCTCTGGAATGAGATCTGAAACAGTGAGCCCCAAATAAACTGCTATTCCTCTAAAATTAAACTATATTTAAAATTCTGTATAATTATAGGTAGACTAGCTCTATTTTAATAAATTAAGTTCATAATAATTATGTCACAAATTTCATGGATTTCAAAATAATTCTTTTAATACCCTCTTTAAATGACCTTTGTTCCAGTTTTTAAAATTTTCTCTGAGATTGATGTTCTCTCAAACACCAAAACCCATGGTTATGATTCAGTCAAGTTTTGCCATTTGCTAATAATTATAACTCCTGATAATACCAATTTTGATTGTTTTCTTTCCCAATCACCAAAAGTTATTTATAACTCATTCCATCTGGTGTTCCTCAAAGGAAAGCTCTCCTATTTTATTTTATTTTATTCTTTTTTTGTCTCACTCTATTCATGTTTTCCCAACCATTTTCACCTAACTGTATGAGTAAGGAATTGTCATTTTAAACTACAAACCCCAAGAGGAGCTGCATGTCTCCTTCCTAACTCCCTCCTTCTAGTTATTCCAGTTAGGAATCTAGGACTTTCCTTGAATTTTTCATTTCTCCTTTACCATACCCAATCCATCATTATTTCCTTTTGGCACTGATTGCAAAATATAAATAGATTATTTCAGTTCTCCTCATGTCTACTGACAACATCTTATGAAACCACTATAATTTCTCGTGTTGATTTCTGAAATAACTCCCAATCTCCTTTTGCTCCTTCTGTCCTCACCCTTATGTAAAGCCTATTCTTAACACAGGACACACTGTCCCTGTTACTAAGATTAGGATATTGCTCTAATGGCAACCTGACCATAACTCCTTCATTCCTTTTTTTCATCAGTGTAAAAGCCAATGTCATAATGTAGCCTAAAAGGGCTGTCTGAGCTGCCCTGAGCATGTTCTGACCCATGGTAGAGAA